TATACATGACTATCACTGGTCACAGTCGCCCACCTTCTGAGCTCCTCGGCATCTGAGCATGAATACAAACTCGTCAGATAGATAGCCTTCCTCTCCCACTAGAGGCTCCATACTCTGCCATCCCTGTCACTGTCCACTGTGTTGTCAAAATTCTTTTTATCTCTATCATATCATGTGATCTCCCTGGCCACCCCCGAGGAGGTCAGTGGGAGCCAGTGGTTTTATTCTCAGTCTACTGTTGGGAAAACTAATTTAGAATATTTAAGAAGATCAAAGGAGAGCAATATGTTGCCAAACTACAGGGGGATTGGGGTGGGGGCAGGAATTCCAGTTATGCCCTGCTTATGCTGTGCCCAAGACCTCACCAGCCATTGCTCTCTCTTTTCTGAGTGTTCTCTTTCCCAACCACTGGCCATACCACTGCCCATTCCTCTGGTAGCATCACTTCCTCCTTCTCTCCTACATGGCAGCCTTGCTCTCTGCCTCCTCAGGTGAATGAGCACCTGCCAGTACATTCTCTCAGCGCCATCCTCCCACATTGAAGATGTTGGCTCTGCTTCCCCCCCTCCCCAAGGAGGCTACTTCCACCAAAGCATAATGGGAACACAGCTACATTTGGAACCACCTCACATTCCCACCTAACACCTGTTCACCAGATAGAGGATGGACTGGTCCCTGCAAAGGTCCAGTTGTAGTCAATCGAGCTCCTTACTAAAGGGACTGTGTGCACTGCATGGAAAAGTCACACAACTGGAGGATTCTCTGAAGAATGTGAAGTGAAGAAATCTAGATACTGGAGGTGAGAGGACAGGAGGAACAGAAAGTACATGAGAGGAGGGAGGGGGAAAACAGGAGAAAGAGAGGAAGGAGGAACGCATGTTCAGAAAGCCACACAACCCTCTGTACACGCAAACAAAACCCAGAGGAGGACGATGCATGCATGCATCTGAAGATCAGACATTAAGTACTTCCTGATTCCAAAGACCTCTGTATGACCTTTCATTAAACTACCATTTTATTTGAATTACAAGAATGAGTTTCTTACTCCATATAGCCAAAAGAACTTGGTCTATGATACAGGCGTACACTACATGATGATTTTTCGTGTGGATATGCATATTGATTTTTACAATTAAACAACAAGCTTCTTCAAAGATCATGATCTAAATATCTTCTTTCCTCTGAATGGGCATCATAGTGCCCAGAACTAACTATTCATTTAACAGCATATGAGTAGGCCCAGTGCAAAGGGCTGAGAGAGCCAGGCCTTGGACAGGTCAGGATTCCTGTTCTCCAGAAGCTCACTGTCCAGCAGGGGGGAAAAGGGGAAATCCCAGTACCCAGAGCAGGGAGTGAAGGACACAGGCTTCTATTGTTAGAGCAAAGGTTCAGTACTTATTGTTGTGTGATGGTTAGTTTTAATGGCAACTTGCCACAAGTCAGAACCTCTTAGTAGGGAGCCTCAGCTGAAGAACTGTCCTGTTTGCTTAACTGATATAGGAACACCCACACCAAATGTGGGTAGTATCTTCTGGTAGCAGCCCACATAAAAAGGGGCATGGTGAAAGCAAGATCATTTGTCTTCTGCATGTTTGATATTCCCTATTGCCCATGATTTGATTTGTCCTGTTGCTGTGGCTGATTCCTTTGCTGACACCGGAGCCATTGCTTCCAGGCTTCTATCACTGACTGAGGACCTGCGGCTCTTCAGAAACCCTCCAGGTTTTGGCACCAGATTGGGACTGTTGAGGCACCCAGCCCTGTGGACTAAGCAACTACCAGGGTCTTGGCCTCGCCAGCATGAGACAATCACTGTGGGATCTACCCAGCTTCTGAGGCCCCACCCAGTCTCAAGGAAGAGCAACTACCAGGTTCTCAGCCTCCCAGGTGTAATTCAGCTGTCCTTACTATTTTGAAGTAAGCTAACTAATTAATTCTTTTAATATATATTGAGAACCCTAATTAATAAGAATTGTGGTACCAGGAGAGAGGTATTGCTTTGACAGACCTAACCATATTGTTTTGGGAGAGGATTGTGGAAATTTTTGGAGCTTTGGACTGGAAAAGCCACTGAGTGCTTAGAGCTTAGTGAGCTGTTCTGTGAGTACCTGGAAGATAAGGCTGAAGGAGCTGTAGGTGATGATGGAGGCCTAGCTTGTGAAGTTTTAAGGCTATCTGTGTGATATATTTTTGGATTAAGAATCAGTGGAAGTAAAACCTTTGCTTTACTGGGACAATTGATGCTGGTCAGCTGGAGCTGAAGAATTAGTTACGATTAAGAAGAGACCAGCATTACTGAGGTGAAATATTCTGGGAAGTATTTCCTCAAGCCGAGGCAGAGGAAGCTGTGGTCCAGAGGGAGCCAAGGCTGCATCCCAAGGTAGAAGCCGGATTTGGTAGTATGTAAAAGTCTCCCATATGGTACTGCCTTTGGCAGCACGAAAGCTGCAGATTGAGGGAGTTATGGAGAGAAGTTGAGGCTTGGCACTGTGAGAGGCCATTGGTGAAGGAAGGTGCAGCCTCAGCTGCAGTGAAGACCCCCTGATACAGTGGAGAAGCCAGGACTGTGGGATGACCACCAGAGACAGCAGTGCCAGAGAAGTGGAACTGCCCAAGAAGATGGTGAGTGAAACCCAAATGTCAGACATCAAGCTATGCCACTAGACTCTGGCTTTGCTTAAGTGTGCCTGGTTCTTCACTCTTGAAAAAAGACAGTATGTAACTTGTTTGGAGTATTATAGGAGCCCACAGTTAAAGAGACTTTTTTTTGTTGTTTTTTGTCTTTTTGAGACAGGGTCTCCCTATAGCCCCGCCTTTGCTGGAACTCGCTCTGTAGCCCTGTCTGGCCTCGAACTCACAAAGACCCCCCTGCCTCTGCCTCCCCAGTGCTGGGATTAAAGGTGTGCGCCACTACTCCCGGCAGTTAAGAGACTTTTAAAAGAGGCTTTTCTTTTAGCTTTTAAAAAACTTTGGGGCTTTTTTTTTTTTTTTTTTTTTTTTTGTCTTTTTGAGACAGGGTCTCCCTATAGCCCCAGCTGTCCTGGAACTCACTATGTAGACCAGGCTGGCCTTGAACTCACAGAGATCCGCCTGTCTCTGCCTCTCGAGTGCTGGGATTAAAGGCGTGTGCCACCACGCCTGGCTAGACTATGGGACTTTTAAAGTTTTACTGTGTTTTATATGGTTGTATTAATGCTTTATATTATGGTATTAATACTAACATGAAGCCTTGGGGATAAGAAATGGAAAGGTTATGGTTTACTAGTGATGTGTTTGTGTGTCAAGTTGACAAAGGGTCAATTGTACTGGATAGCTTCAGTTGTCAATATGACACATCTGGGAAGAGGGAACCTCAAAACCTCAATTGGGACATTTCCTCTACAGGACTGGCCTGTGGGCATGTCTGTGAGGTGTTTTCTAGATTGCTGAGTAATGTGGGAAAACCCAGTCCACTGTGGGTGGTGCCACCCCTGGGAAGTTGGTCCTGGGTTATACAACAAAGTAGGTTGAGCACAAGGCAGAGGAGCAAACCAGTAAGCAGCATTCCTCCATGGTCTATGCTTCAGTTCCTACATCCAGGCTCCTGCCCAGACTTCCTGCCCTGACGGCCCTCAGTATTAGATTGTGACCTTGAGAGTAGTATGCTGACATAAGCCCTTTCCTTCCCGAGTTGGTTTTGGTCAATGTTTTATCACTGCAACAGAAGTTAACTAGGACATGGAGTATGACTGTTGACAAGGTCAACCTCCTTGGGTTATTCTAAAAATTCCTATAGATATAGTTTAGGTGCCTAAAAAGTACCATTTAAACTTCAGAAGACCAATAATGGTCATGATAAGGATCTTCCAAGGAAGATGTAGAGTGGTTAAGGGGACACAAGGCACAGAGTGATGGTCAGGGCAGGAAGCATGGAGTCTCGGAAGTTTCAGCCAAGAGGTAAAAGAGTGAGTATTCCAGCTTATTTCCCCTGATGAGCAAATGGACGCGTATAATGGGAAAGCCCCCACCCGCACCCACATAGGCCTTCACACCGCACCTGAGTCGACTCTTGTTCCGGGCCACACGGGTGAGTGTATAACGATTGATGGTGTAGAAGTAGTCATGGTAGGGCACATCATGGGTGAGGACTTCTGCATCTATCACGTAGCATTCGCTCTCCTGACTTGCTTTATACATGGTCTGGGGGTAGGAAAATTCCATTGACCAAAACTGAAGAAAAGCAAGACAGGAATTCCCCAATTTCCTGCCCCAATTTCCCCACCCCTGGGCTCCTGAACAGAAGGGTGTGAAGCTACTGGAGGCGTCGGCACTCAGCTAGCTGGATGCTGTTGGCTCAGGGCTCAACAAAGCCTATGTGGCATTTTCCTCGCCCCAGCCTTCACCGTTCATGTTGGAACAGGTCTCCTCAGCATGCTCTCATTTGCCTCTTCCCTCACCCTACTCACCTGCGTCTCCCTGACCGTGGCAGTTTTGGGAGCCAGAGGGTTGGTAAGGGTGATAGTGTAGAGAATCACTCGGCTCTGATTTCCATTCTCCTCCTTTTTCCATGGATGGAAGATGATATCTGAGGGCAGAAGAGCGCCTTGGAATGAAGGAGGGACAGCTGCACAACTCCCCTTTTCTGAATCTCCCCTCTAATGAATTTCTCATTCCATGCTGACTACCAACAGCCCCCCTCCCTGAAGGCCAACTGGAGTTTAAAGACTGGTGGAGGAGGTTAGGAGGAGGAGGGAGTCAGAGCAGAAAGAGGCTCATTGTGGCAGTGCTGAAATTCTACACAGAGCTCCAGAATGCTGACTGTTCCCAGGCTGGGGCAGGAGGTCTTGGGGCCACCTGCGGGGGTGCTGGTAACACTGGAGTTACTGTGGCAAGGGCCTCAGATCCCTTGGGAACAGATCCTCTCCTCCAGGGTGTAACTGCCATGCACTCAACATGCCTCTCCTTGCAGAGGGGTGCCCTGCTGCCTATAGCACTTTCCCAGAGTCAGTGCTTGGCAGCCCTGCTAGGCAATATTGTATCCGAGCTATGGGAAAAACTACAGCAAGAGAATGAGGCAGAAGCATGAGCGCCAAGGAGTGCTCAACATGAACCTCATTCAGCCCTTCTTAGCTACTTTAACAGGCAGGTAGATAATAGCCTGGGGTTCAGGATCCTGAAATACCAGCTCTAGAGACCTCAAGGCCTACACATGGCACAAATGAGGGCTGAATGAGCCAACACCACAGGCTCAGTGCAGAGGGGTGCCCCTCAAACAGTGAGAACAGCTGTCCTGCACTAGGCACAGCCCTGTGAGACAAAGAGCTGGCACAGCCTGCTCAATGGGGAATCTTTGGCACTGCTAGGGACCGAGAGGGCCAGAGTACCGTGGAGGATTTCTGGTACTACATAAGGCCAGAAAGAGGTGCCTGGGACACTGGAAAAAGAAAATAAGAGGTGGGGGGGGTACAATGTACGGTGCTGGAAAGGGTGGAGAGCCAGGGAGGGGCCAGGCCCGCAGATCAGACCAGAGAAGCGCCGCTGCTCCATGAAGTCCCGCAGGAAGGGCAGGTTGGTGAAGAGCAGGTCATAGAGTTTGTCAACACTGAAGTTGAAGACCTCGTTCACATACTGTCGTCCACTCAGGTCCTCATAGAAGGCTTGGACCTCCCCTGCACAGAGGATAGGGTAGAGTAGACAGTGGCAACAGAGGACAGTGGACTGTGGGGACATTGTCAGAGCACTGACATCTTTGGGGCTAATGTGGACACCATCACCACCACCAAGGGAGAGGGGAGGGGTGGCTAGGCTCTTGAACTCCCAGTCAATGTCTTTTGGTCTTTTTGACAGTGTCGCCCTGTAGCCCCAGGCCTGGAACTCGCTAGGTAGACAAGGCTGGCCTTGATCTCACAGAGATATGCCTTGCCTCCCCTGCCTCTGCTTCCTGAGAGTGTAGGGATTAAGGGCGTGTACCCCCACACCAGTCCCTTCCCTTCGCTTCCTAGGGATATGTGCTGTTTGCTCTAGTGAACACTGGCTATTCAACCCATACAAAGAATTTGGGAATGTACGACAGTCACAGGTCATTGAACTACAAGGAGACCGTCTGACAAATGGCTTCATAGGTGATTTTACCTTTGCCCAATTATTGTAGTATAGTTCAGACAAATTAAGATGCTCCACAGTCACCAAGTAATGTGCTTTCATGTAAATGCCTTCATTTATGTGGCCAGTGTCATTATAAGGCTCATGACTATGCTTGCTTTTACACTTTCAAATCTCCCTCATTGAGCTGATCTCAGACTAAACCAGACCCCAAAGGACAGATTGAGTGCTTATACCATAACTGACAACAAATGGCTTTGAAGCCACTGACACGGGTGGGTTCAAGAGCGACTGACAAATCTGAAATGATCTCTTTAGAGAACAGCTTCTAAGGCTGGGGCTACCAGATGGACCATGATGCCCAATATAATGGGGCAGCTTATTTTCCCCAGGATTTCAATATTCCATCTTAAAAATATAAAAACAGCTTTACTGCAGTGGAAGATTGTCTATCAGAATGAGGCAAGAGGAACGAGCATACACAGAAAGGTCTAGAAGGATTCAGAAGCAAAGCGTCGTCATTCTCGGGGTTGCTGTACTCACCCAGTACACCACAGTGACTACATGCAGAGCCCCGCTAACCAGGGCACCTCACCTGTTATTTTCTGAATTTTCTTAATGTGCCTGAGGGACGAGGTGAGTTGCTGAGGCTTGGTGTTCCTCCTAAGTACCTAGCACCCATCATCCCCAATGCCTTTACTTCCATGGACTGACAGGTGACCTCAAGCAGGAGGCTCACATTTTCTGGTACCCTTGTTATTCAGAGAAAGCCACAAGAAGCACAGGCTCATCCTGCAGTCAGTGCCTAAGGCCATACAGACTATGTGTCAATGTTCGCGCCTTAGTTTATGTGAATGGCACCCCTGGAATTAGGTGATGTCCAATCTCTACAACCATTTGTACCAGTCTGGGATCCTATTCAGAGACAGGCAAACCAACCCTGTTAGAATGTTAGAATCCAAAACAATAGATGGCTGTAGGACAGACCATCCACAGATGAATAAGTAAGCCTATTTGTATCTACTCACTAGAGATAACCCACCACCCCTTCAACAGAGGAAAGCCCCAGCTACATCCAGGTACGCTGAGAGTCTGCCTTCCATGGAATGCCAGCAGCAGCATGCTCCTGAGTGAGGTCTGGGAGCTTACTCTACACAGAAACAAAGGAAGAAGCATTTGCCTCCAACAATTAGAGAGTAGCAGAGTCTCTGACGCCCATCTGACCCAGTAAGCCTTTCCTGCTATGTGAGTCACTAGGGAGTTTTATGGGTATCTTGATAAAGTTTCTGTCCAAGTCTAATTATTTCTAAGAAGCGGCTAATGGGTCTGTGAGGGATAGAGTGTCAACAGGAGGGTGCACTGCGTGGCACTATCTGATGAGCAAAGAAAGACACATTAACATGCAAAGGGGTTCATACTTCATCATAAATGTGCCTCACTTTAAAGGGCTATTTCTCGTAGACCCAGAGCCTGGGTTCTGACTCAAGGACCCACAGAAACTTCCTTAAAGGCTTCACAATGGAGAGGCAAAGGGCCACTGAAGACCTGTGTTCAGAAGCTCACCTTCATCATGGGTATCTGAAGAATCACTGAGCTCGGTGGGGATATCCTCATTGTCATTGAAGTCCAGAGAAGGAGAGGTCACAGGTGCAATGATCTCAATCTTCTCCCCTATGATGTTGTCAATGGCGAGCTCCTTCTCCAGAGACCCGTCACCCTCCAACACCTCCTCCTCCAGGGGCAAGCCATCAAACTGCAATGGAGATCAAGCGTCACCCACTGGGGACACCCTGAGTGGATCTACTTTCCAAAGGGAGACTAAGAACCTCACACTCCTAGCACAGCTAGCTACTCAGGAGCTGGGCTGAGGTCAGCTGCTGGGGCTGTGCAGAGCTGCACAGAAGAGCAAGCACAGAACTAAGTACTCATTGGCCTTCTCATGCTCAACATTCAGAGGGTACACTGAGCCCAAAGGTATACAGCTGGCACCCCCAGCTCTAGGTTCTTTCTGGCGCCATACTCCTGCCATGCTGGTACAATGCTAGCCTACCTCCAAACACAACCCTTTTCCTAAGGAGCTCAGAGTTCATGGATATGTTTTGGGAAATTCATTCTTCCACTGGCACTGGAATTCTTTTCTATTTTAAAGCCAGTCCCACAGATGGAAAATGAAGGCTAGGCACCAAAGATGTTCTTATTCTAAGGCCAAGCCAATGGAATAAAAGGTTCCCTTTTCTGGGAGTCCTTTCCTGAGGAACCCAACTCCTGCTGGCACATGCCCTAACCTTCTTCCTTCAGCTAGATTCTGACTTCTCTACAACAGTGTTCCTTAGGAGAGAGGTCCTCATGGACACTTTTTAAAAAATGTGTATGAGTGTATTGCCTGCATTTATGTAAGTGCACCTGTGTCATGCAGTGTCTGTGGAGGTAAGAAGAGGACATTAAATCCCCTGAAACTGGAGTTACAGATGGTTGTTAGTCACCACATGGGTGTTAGGAATCGAAACTAGGTCCTCTGCAAGAGCAGCCAGTGCTCTTAACCTCTGAGCCATCTCTCTCCAGCCCCCCTCATGGATATTTTTATAGCATCCATAAAGTCTACAACTGTGGGATAATAAATTGAAAAGGAACTCAACAAACATTCATGAGATGAGTGAATAAGCAATTAACTGCCCTAAAGCTCTATATTCCTGTGTGATTTTGAGTCAAGATCGGAAGGAAAAAAAGGACCCTGGAAAGTTCTCCCAAAGAGGAGCTAATCTGAAATAGTCCACTAAGAGCCACGCTGCACAGACTTGGAATATTTTTCATCTTCTCAGATGTTTAGCCAAATTATGTAACCCACATGCTGAGATTCTAGTTCTGGACCTTTGGAATCTACCCTAGAGCCCACTTTCAGGATAGAAGAAGCTGACCACATGGAACCCCCCTCCCACATCCCCACTACCCAGTGGGGTTCCTATGGGGTTCACGAAGCTAGGAGTCACTGGCCACTGATCGGGGTGGAGAGATGCCCAGAGTTTACTTCTCATACCGAGACAGGGGCTTCGCTGCTCCCAGTGGAGGTCAGTGTGCTGTTGGTGACGGACTTCTTGGGCAGCTGTGGGCTGGCATCTGGCTTGGTCTCTATGCTGCTTTTGGAGGAGCTGTCATTCACTTCATTCTCTTCTACAGGGATCTCCTCGCAGTAGCTAGAGAAGATCCCGGTGAGTTCACGTTAGCCTCGGTGGTAGAAATAACCAGCTATCTGAGAACCTCAGACCTGTCTATCCATTTAAGCTATGGGCTTTCCTGCTTCTTTGCTTTGTATATGACCTTGTTTCAACCAAAACCTGCATGCCCCTCATTGCTTTCCCAAAGCCTCCTTCCCCTCTCACTCCACCTTTATCCTCCAACATACAAAACTCTGCCTAAAATTCACCTTTTCTTAATGCCCTCCTTAGATTTATCCCTATTTAAGTATGACTATATCTCATCTTCCTCTTTGGATCCCACCCCATCTTGATCATCTGAATCCAACATTCAAGCTCTCGAGTACAAATTTCATTTCTCAAACATTAACTAAGACACAGTATTACCTCAGTGATACTACCCAAATTCTAGATCATAACTAACAAACTTCTCTGCACTGTACATCTTGAATGAAGGTAGATGTCCTTCCAGAAACACTTCAGAGATGCCTCCTTAGCAACGTCAGCCTTATCGTCATCACTGGCATCAACATCTGACTCTTATATTCCATAGCATCTGGGTGTTTAACAGCTCTCAGTAAATGATTATGTGCATTTTTGAGATCAGCAAATAGAAATGGATAGAGGTTATGTGACACCAACATTAAATGTCAGCATTTGCCCACAGCCAAGGTCTAAAGCTCTTCGCTCCCAATGCTCTTTCCTTGCCGTCTATTCCTCCACCTCACAGCAGCTCTGGCCTCCATATACCTTCTAAAACCTGAGTACAATTAGGGGCTGTCATACAGTGAGAGGCACTGTCAAACAGTGAGAGGCCACTCTCCTTAATCTCTTCCCCTTAGCTGCTACCATAAAGACTCTCCTACCTTGCTAGATGTCCTTTCGTGATCTCTTTTGCTGTTTCTTCTTGTTGTTGAAGCTTCCAACCTAGTTCCTGAACTTCCTTGTATGTTCACTCGCTTAGAGGACTGGGCTATCCATGAGTGACTCAAGTATATGGCTCCAGCACAAACTTCACCATGAACTTGCCATCGGTCCTCAGAAGCCTATTTGACCCCTCCACTTGTTTAACAGACATCTCAAGTTGCCTAAAAATAACTTTATGATCTTCCCCCAAAACTGTTCTACCTATTGCATTCTCTATTGCAGTTTGGAACCATTCCATTCTTCTGAAGAATAAAACAAACTTTAAAGTAACTTGGGTCTCCTTTTTGATTCATCAGCAAATCCTTCAAAGCACATTCCAGAACTAACCACTTACTGCCGTGTCTACTGCAATCTCTTGATACAAACCACCACCATCTCTCATCTAAATTATCTAGATTATTTAGCAACCCTCTGAACAGGTCTCACTGCCTCTGTTCCTGTACCCCATTTCAGTGTATTTCCAACATAGAAACCAGAGTTAAGATATTAAGCCAGACCTTATCAACCACTCCAAACCTGCCCATCCTTCTCCACAAAAAGGCAATTGTCACTGTCATTGGCCAAAAGGTCACTATCCCCTGCCCCGCTTGACTTCCTCCCTTCACTTTGTAGCCACAGGCTGTTCCCTATGCCTGGAGTACTCTTTCTACAGGTAGGAGTCTGTGGTTCCCTCCCTTGCTTCCTTCAGTGCCTTCATTAGAAACCATTTTCCTAACGAGGTCCTCACTGCCATCTGACTCCCAAGTCCCCTGCAAATCCCACCCAAGGCCTCACTCACCCCATTGTGTTGAAGTCATCATCCGGAGGCACATAGTCCTCATCGTCACTGGTCAGACCCAGCTCATTCCCGTAGCACTGGTGGACAAAGTGCCAGAGCTCCTTGGGGCAAAGGGGCTGCAGGGGAAAAGAGAAGTGACTCTGATCCTCCCTTCCTCGGGTTCTGCTATTCACTACAGAGGCACTAAGCCAGGCTGGCTCCTCTACAGGACAGAAGCTGAAGGGCTCTTCTCCCAGCTAAGCTACAGAGAGGCTACCTCTATGATAACACCACCCACTTCAGAGAGTCCAGTCAGATGCCAATCTCTCATCTAGAAGAGTGGTTCTCAGCAAAGCTAAGAACGTACACCTTCCTTGCCTGCCCCTTAAACAGAGCTTTAAGAATGGGATCAATTGGTCCTTGAGGCTGGAAACGACCCCACTACCTGCTCCTATTGATAAGGTCTAGCATTAAGTGGATTCAACTTGTACTACCTTGGGGACAAGGTTAGTTCAGAGCGCCTGATTTCAATTCTGAGCACCCATGCGTCCCCTGACTCAGTCTTATACCATGACAGAAATGAAAGGTCATCTCATTCAACCCTCTCCTGACTACCTGAATATTTCCTTCTTTATTCTGAAGGGCAATGTATTTGCGTGCAGTTCTACATATAGTTTCCAGTATCTGCTTCTTCAGTGAGTGTCTATTTGTCCTCTTTAGAAATACTGTCCTAAGAAAAGCTAGTTTTCATGGGGTCCAGTTCTCAGAGAAAAGCAGTGGAATGTCAAAAAACTGAGACCAGGGGTGGAGACCACGAGTGAGTCTCAGACTGGAAGGAAGGGATGAAGGTGGTGGTGACAGTCAGCGAAAAGCAGATGGCAAATATAGATGCAACCAATAACTTGAAAAAAATCAGAATTTAGGAGTTCTTGCCATCAAGGATTTCATAAAGAATATGAGAATTCTCCAAAGCTACACTTTGAAAGAATAGTTTAAGAAGGCAGCAGCTGGTGGGATCCAACGAGTCAGCTGTCCGATTTTCTGACTCAAGAGAACCACCTAGAAGGCCGTGTCTCTGGATCAGCAGGTATGGGGTGTTTGCTCTGTGATGACTAAGGGAGGAACCCCCCCCCCAGCCCCCCGCCTTTCATCTAGTCCTTCATTCTTATCTCTGGTATTTGTGGACATCCTTCATCCTGCCTGAGACACATCTGCTTCCTGACAAACTCTGTCCTAGCTTACTTCACGACTCAGCCTCCCCTGCTGACTTTCCTGATCAGTTCCATCTGATTGAGTTAGTTTCCCTGCAGTCAGGACAAGTACAGTTAGCAGACACTCATCCGACAAACCTGCCAGTAGAGATTCAAACACATTATCACTTTTCCCTTATTGATAGCCAATATAGTTGGGAGATAACAGTTCAAAAAAGGCTACCAAGACTTACAGTAGGGCTATAACAGAGTCTCAAATAGAAGAAACTGTAACTAATAGTAAATTTACACTGTACACGCCAGAAAGTAATTAGCTTGGGGTGGAGTCAAGACAAATGCATACATATATTCAATACATTCATGTCAATTTTATGATAGCCTAGCTGGAGGTATACATTATTTATGTTGGGACTGTCCCCTATTTTTTTCCCTCTGGCCTGGTTATTTCCTCAACAACTGACAACTTCTAAGAGGGAACTCTCTAAGGACAAGGGTCATGTTATTCTATCTGTTTTTCCTTCCAATCTAATTCAAACACACTTGTAGTCAATCTCAATCAGGCTATGTTAATTTTCTTATTTTCAGTATTGGCAACACTCTGGTGTCTGCTGACTTTTTGACTGGGGTAGAACCCTCAAAGTCCTAGAGGCAGAAAACAACTCACATATTGTGCAATGAGCCCTTTCTCTGTGTTGACCGATTCTTCTCTCCAGGCCAGGTTCTTAAAGCCAGGTGCCAGGCTACTAGAGATAGTCTCTAAGCCCTAAGACCCACCAAGATTATTACCACGAGTTAATCCTAAACCTACATGGCCTGTTCATCTTGCCCTCCCCCATTTGATCCCACAAGGCCATAGTAAAGACTCTTGCCCATTCTCCCCCTTCCCTCTATGCCTCCTGACCAACCCCAGTGATTTTCCCCATGTGGCCTAGCGTGGCCCACCATGACACACCTCATTTCTGGGAATCTGTGAATAGGAAAACTGCTTCCTTCATAAGTCATTTCTATGGCTACATTTTCACCACACCTGGCTAACCCAAGCCCTGGTATAGTATAAAACAGTGGAGCTGAAATGCCTGAAGTCAAAGGCATCTTATTCCTGGCAGTAGAGAGGGCATTCTCACAAGAAGGCTGACTCAGGTGAAGGGTACCAGTGGGAGATTTTCAGACCATGAGGAGACATGGACTCCTTAGGAGCTGGCCAAAACCACAATAAAAGCACAGCATCCTAGTGGAAAGAACATTGTGAGTGGATGACTTCCTGAGACTGAAGGACATGGCCAGTCAGTGCTTACCTTTTCAAGGAGAGCGTTCTGCCAGAGCCGGAACATCATCATATACGTTCTATCCCGAGCCCCAAATGAAGTAAAAAAGTGCTGGGTTGGAAGAGAAGATGAAAAGAAACATCTGTTAAAATTCACAATATAGAGAATGGAAGCATTGTTCTCTTTTTTTTTAATTCAAGATACTCTGTCTTCAGATACTATTGAGTCTCAGTCATCCGAAATCACTATATCGACACTATGAGAAAAAAGGTCAGCTTGGGGCTGGAGAGATGGCTCAGTGGTTAAGAGCACTGACTGATCTTCCAGAGGACCCGGGTTCGATTCCCAGCACCCACATGGCAGCTAACAACCATCTGTAAGTTCAGTTCCAGGGGATCCAACACCCTCTTCTGACCTCCGAGGGCACTGCATGACACGGGTGCACCTACATACATGTAAGCAATACACTTATACACATAAAATAAAATAATAATATTTAAAGTAAATAAACAAAATAAAAAAATAAAAAGGGTCAGCACACTGGGGGCCTATGTACCTAGGTACTCAGTCCCCACTATAACAAAGTCCTTCAATGTTTTACCCAGACTTCCTTTTGCAATTTTTTTGTCTAGTTTGAAATTGTCTTCTCCAAAAACATAAATGATTTTTGCCCATATGCTGAAACTGGGCAAGGGAGGAATTGGGGTATAGGGTAAACAGGCTAAGACAAACCCACTGACCCACCAACTCTTCTAATTCTTTCTACTAAATCTGAATATTAGTATGTGCTATGTACTATTCTGACTGCGTAGGGTGTACAACATGGTACAAAAATGAAAATGACCCTGCACTTGTACAGTGCACTGGGAGCCTTTGTAACACATAGGAGGAAACAGACCAGAAGCCAGACCACTGCATACCTACTGGGTGCGTGACAAGTGCTATTTTATTTAAATCACACCGAAAACCTCAGGCAATGAACAAAGATCATAATAAGAAGTTGATGGAGTTAGGCAACATGTAGAAACACAGCTGATTAGGGCAGGAAACAGAAATCAAATCCAAGACTGTCTGATCTTTGACTTCACAATGCTTGTCAATAAATTGCTTGCATCCATGGGAACTATAGCTGTGTCTACAGCACACACTCCTAGGCTTGAATCTATTGGTCTTTAGGGTCTGGTTGAAGGTCAAGGATCATGGAGTTTCCTATCCTAAATTTTATCTACCATATTCTCCCCACATTGATAAGGACAAACCATTTCCAATCAGATTCCTTATCTCCCTATTTTTTAAAATATTTTATTATTTTTATTTTATTTGTATGAGTGTATTGTCTGCGTGTATTAAGTGCACGCATGTCGTGCAATGCCCAAGGAGGTCAGAAGAGGATGTCAAATCCCCTGGAATTGGAGTTAGAATAGTTGTTAGCTGCTATGTGGGTGCTGGGAGCTGATCCCAGGCCCTCTGGAAGAACTGCCAGTGTTCTTAACAGCTGAGCCATCTTTCCAGCCCCTCCTTATCCTCTTAAGACATAATCAGGTATGTTGATAAAAAAAAAATGGTTAACTGCTTAGATTTGTGTATTCATTTATAATTCAGTATTTTCAAATATGTTATTTCAAGACTCTTTAAATGGGTATTGGTAGATCCATTTTACATGTGAAAACTGAGGATCAGAGAGGTCCTCCAACACTGTCTACAGTCACAGGACTCAAAATCAGGTGTTCTGGCTCCAAGTCCAGTATTCTACCATGCCAACCTTACTTCGGCTCAGCCTCCTACTACCCTGCTCACTCAGGAAGTAGTTTCCAGAACTTGCACCCTGTTTACTACCTGTTACCACAATCCCATTAGCTTGCAAATTAAAGCAATTTAAGGGCTAGAATACAGAAGCAAGGGAAATGGGAAATGCTGTGTGCAGGGTGGGTGGGTGGGAGGCCAGAGCTCGACAACTCACCTTTTCTGAATCAGTGCAAACTTGGATAGCATTGGGAATGAGGCGAGCTGTCTTCTCTTTAGTCATGGAGCAGATATCTTTCAAACGGACTGTCAGCTGGCATCCCATGGGGACAGGCAAAGGTAAGAGGCAAGAGGGAGCATTAGTGGAACCAGGCAAAGAGTGTTCCACGTGGCACTAGTATAGCCAGCCAAACTCAGATCGCAATTCAGCATCTCTAGCCCCAGAAGGGACCACCTTAGAGACCATCCATATGTCATAGAGACCACATACCAAGGAATACGGGGCCTTATCTCCAGCCATGGGTACCTAGATTCCTGGTCTGAGAAGCTTTCTTTCTCAGTCTGCTAAATGGGGAGAGATCCTGTCACTTTTTTGCCACTTACAAAAACAGAACATTGGCACTAGATGGGCCCATAAAACCCTCTAGGTAACCTTTCTCTGTCTAATTTTAAAAGATAAGGAGGATAAAGGCAAATAGAAAGACTGGGCTAAAATCAGTTAATAAAATGCAGAACTTAGAAAATATGCAAGCTCATTCTCCTGAGCCCCACAGCCAATGTCCTTTCTACTTTACCATGTCCCTCTGTGTTAACTCATGCCAAATAGCTATCTGTATTTGCCAAAGACAAATATTCTTCATAACCTCTTCTACACCCAAGAAATGAGAGAGACATACACGGCAGAAGAAATGCCATTACTGGGACTCAAAATTGGGAACTCGCCAGACTTCAGGCCTAGGTTTGTGTGAACAATACAAAGGATTGGGACTAACACAAAGTCAGGAGGAAAGGGAAGGCAGTTTGTTTAGCTCAGTCATGGTCAAGGAACCAGCCTGAAGGAGCAAGTACAGGGTTATTTTTTTCTTTGTCTTTTTTCAGTGCTAGAGACAAGCCAACAGCTGCTTTGCACATGCTAGGCAAGCACTGTCACTGAGACATAGGACTCACACTCCCCTGAAATCCCACACCAACCCGAGGTCAATGTCTTTACCAGAGTTTCCCAGCGGAAGATGTTGCTGTAGAAGCAGATCCAATTTTCTGAGAGGTAGAGTCGGCCCTGAAGAAGAATGTCTCTTTGGAGTGCACAAGAGTAATCTGCAGAAAGCAGGCCAGGGAGGCTCAGAAGCAGAAATGAGCAGTGTACCATGAGCATGCCATCCCTCCCTCCAGCACTGGGGAAATCCAACCACCTGCAGCTGACTAGGTGTGTAAGCCATGTGAGCTAGCCACCAAGGAATTCCCAACAGCTCATTATCAGAGCATAGAAGAGGTGGAAAAAGCTACTGACTTGAAGCAGAGGAATGAATGTTACAGCACAGGGCCCCAGGATGGCAGAGTAAAAAACGGACAGTACAGTTCAACTAATCTCCCCTCTCTTTCCACCACACAGCAAGAAGTGGGAGGGAAATACATGGCAGAAGAAATGCCATTATTGGGACTCACTGTTCTACTAAGTGTCTATTGCAAAGATTAAGTATGCCTATGACTCTCTCCTTGGCAGGCTCTCCAGGCTGCCATAGGCATGATACTTGTCTCTGAGTTTTGGGACCTGTACTCCAGACATCTATTTTCCCTGATGCCAGATCAATGTGCTTGCTTGTGCTGGCTCTCTGCCTCTGGACAGAAACAGCCTCCCTGGAACTCCCAGACTTCCAGGTTGGTTCCTCCCAGGTGACCAGCTTACCAACAATGAGACGCTCCGTGTCTGGAAGCTGCTTAAAGAGCTTTCTGAAGTCTTCATTTCTCTGCTTATAAGTGGGGCTCAGCACCTGCACAACAATGGCCAAGATTAACATGGTACACCCTGGTTCTGTAGGATTAGAGACAGTAGATGCTGGGGGAACACTTGCTTGTGAGTCACAAAGGCAAAGAGATAAGGCTCTGTTCCCACAGTCCCTAAGAGGCCAGGATAGGAAAGGGGGCCTGGGATGGAAAAACAGCCCAGAGGACCTGATCTTGCAAAACTCTGCATCCAGCAATTGGTTAATTAAGAAAATATCAGGATATGAAGCTGGACATGGTGATGCACACCTTTAGTCCCAACACTTGGGAGGCAGAGGCAGGTGGATCTCTATGAATTCGAGGCCAGCCTGGTCTACACAGGGAGTTCCGGGTCAGCTGGGGCTACAGAGAGACCCTGTCTCAAAAAGACCAAAAAAAAAAAAAAAAAGAAAAGAAAAATATCAGGATATGAAGTCAGGGCCCACTATGTCCCAAGAAGAGAGAGAAATCAGGGAGGGACACCTTCAGACACTGTCCTGGGACCTATGATGCCTGGGACCTATGATACCAGATAAGTCTTGCCCTGCCATCTGCAAGCTCCACTGTAACAGTGAAACATATGCCTGAAGGACAAGAGGATGGGACCCTGGGTACCCCTCAGAAGTTACTGTTACGACTAACACAATGAGCAAGCATGTGATTTTGAAAAATAATCATAAAGCATGGTGCTAAAAAAAAATAGCCAGTAACAGAAAAATATACTACCCCTCAGAAGTTACTGTTACGACTAACACAATGAGCAAGCATGTGATTTTGAAAAATAATCATAAAGCATGGTGCTAAAAAAAATAGCCAGTAACAGAAAAATATACAAATTGTGAATTTAAAAGTACATCTTTCACACAGACGTAGAACTTCATTCTCTATCCATAATGAAGGATCAACCAACCCTTACAGTACTAATGAGGAAATTGGGGTCAGAAAGAAGCCCCTGCCTGAGGGTACCCAACTGCCAGTCTACAGCAGGCCCCAAGATAAGGATCTGTTCTCTACAAAGCCTAGAAGCCAGGGGAGGACCAGGGGCTTGGGACAAAAAACAGTATGACAGTACGAAGGCTCTGACACCACAATGTGCTGTGTACCTCTCACTCGCCGCCCCCTACCACCTGTGCCACCAGCTGCCCCTCCATCCACCTAGCTTTCATAGTAGCCTCATCATGGACTCATTCCCATAGACTAACTCAGCAAATCCCCCTTGGAGACCCCACCAGTACCCTGAATAGTCAAGAATCCTGCCCTTTCAGAGCTTACAATCTTAAAACATACAGAACAGAATAGAATCAAGAAAGAACTGTCCCTTGATGAAGGACATGCAAGGATGATAAAGTATACAATCCAGGGAGAACCACACATGGGTGCAGAGACACATCCTCACCCAGCTGTGTGCTGACCTACTTTTGCACATACTCTGCCGCTGACCCTCAGCCAGGAATGCATGCCTGAGGGACAGATTGTCCTGCTGATGGTGACATGAGGTTCCTGACTTCTTACCCTCTCACTCCCTTTCCTGGGAACCCAGGGGCACAGCTGCTGAGAGACCGACCCTGCAACTGTTCATGTTTTAGCTTTCTACAAAGCTAACTGGCTCATGTGGAAGTGAAGGTTAGGGTCTGATCTCATCTGCGCCAAGCACTGCTACTTTGGACTAAAAGAAGAGGAATATGTCAGAAAGAGAGAGAGAAAAGTGTGTGAGTTCAATTAAGGGAGCATCTCCAAGACAGAAACCAGGGAGAAGATGATGTAAGGATGTTTCTCAATTTGCCTATAATTTGAAATTCAGGCTTTTGTTCTTGCCCTACCCACAATATGAAATGCCCAATTACCTTTCTCCCAAACTATGCTATGCTATCATAAAATTTCAAATGTCCCAAATCACCTGCATGTGCCTGAACCAGGTTTCCAGTCCACTGGAGAAAGATAACTGAAAGCTTATCTGTCCTATGATTTCTATTGCTAGGAAAGACCTCAGATATAACAGTATTGTTATATGCTATCCAAATGGCTCCCTGGTCTCAGACAACAGAGTCTGCACACTGGGAATTCTTGTTTAACTGTGTGTTCCTCATGTCTAACTCAACTTTTAGGCTACTGTAGACTGAATTAACACCCCACAGCAAGCACACACCCACCACATAGATCACTGCACTTGCCCACAAGATTGATTTCATTGCCTGACTTCACACTTAAGGAAACAGAGGCACAGAGAGGTTCAGCAACTTTCCCAAGGAGCATGGTGACCCAGAGGGAATGCAACATGAAGCCTGTCCATATGCCAAAAAGGAAACCATAGAGCTTCCCATAAGAGCACATTCTTGGAAGGAGACAGTCACCTGATTTGGCTCCCACTGGCTTCTCATATCCCTGGATGACTCTTTGTAAAGTTCCAACATCACCATGAGGAGCAGCCCACCAGATAGCCCGTCAACCCTCTTCAGGGGAAACTGGGCACCAGGTATGCAGTTACCTGATGCCCAATAGTCCTCCTAGTTCTAATGTTTCATCTACAGTGAGTGCCCTTTGCCCTTGGGCTTCTAGCATATCTAGTAAAAATTCAGGGACCTACAGGGATGGAGGTGCAGGAGATCTGGTGACCGTCTCCCAGTAGCAAGCAGACAGAAGACACAGAAGTGAGGAGGAAGAGGACAAGCCTCCTGAAGACTCCTTATTCCACATGTGGACCTAAGTGCCCTTACTGTACTCTCTATTCATACGAATGGCAGGTCAACCTCTCTGTACTAGAGCACATAGTACAGGGACACTTTGGGTGGGCATACTTGGCCTACAACATGTCCCTTCCATGCTGGGGATGCTGGGGAACCTAGCTCTCTCTCTACCCCTATGTACTCTTAAAATAATCCCCTCCAAAGGTGAAGCATGGCTCACCTGAATAAAATAACCAAAGAATTCTGGCTCAAGGATTGTCAAATCTGAGGCCCTTGGTTAGCAGAGCCAAGTGGGGCATGCAAGGGTGCAGAGAATGGTCATAGGGACAGAGAATTCGGGTCACACACTCACGGCTGGGATTTCCTCAGATCCGTGCCAGCAGTACTGTTCAGCACCAACAGGTGCATCAGCAAACCTCTTCAAACACCACAGCAGAGTCTGGCTTTCCTGCTCCAGCAGGAGGCTCCAGAGGACCCCAGATTCTGTCAGAGATTCCATTACCCCCAAAAGCTGCTCCTGCCAAGGCTGGAGTCCAGGTCCTTCTGCTGATTCTCTTCTGTCCCCTCAGGATGGAAACAGTGAGTTTTGCCTGAACTGAACACAGAGGGTAACCTCTGGCTTCTGGACAGAGGGTCTATATAACCCAGACTGATGTCCCTTCCTATCTTAAGGCTGTGGTCACAGTGCGAAGCCCTGCAAATTAGATGTAATAAGCATGGTTCACCAAGCAGGTTGGCCGGACATTTTCCCACAGCTGTGCTCTGCTCTGTCCTTCTTAGCTAGTCTTCAGGCTGGGGGAGCTCAAAGGGGGTGTGCTCAAGCAATACCCCCTGGTTGGTGCAGTCACTCGAGTCCAGGTAAGGTCAGAAGACATAGATAGACACATCAGGTACACGGCACTGGCTGAGAGTTGGTCAAGGGCAGGCTCCACGTGTACAGGCACTTTGCAGAGGAGGATGACCCACAGCTGGGTCCAGAGGTCTGTTTCCACTAGCTACTCACTCAGCGGAGTGATTCACAGTCGATCAGAAGCTCCAGAGAGGGCCTGGATGGCCCATAGAGTGATCTGTTCAATCAGCAAGTACTTTCTACCTCTTGGGCAGGCTAGTCACAACTGTGACTCACATCTCTCACCCAGATAGCACTGCAACCACTTTTAGCTGCAGCATAGGGCCTGCTCTCATCCCCACCCCTTTCCCTTCTAGCCCGGGTTCCTTTCAGCTGGCCAGCAAACAACTTCTTTGTTAAGAGTTACTGGGGAGGGAGGCTGGGCTGGTGGGCGGGCAGGGCCATAGCCCTGCACATGCTTCAAGTTACAGGACCTGGGTGATAGGCCTGGCCAATGTCCTACAGTAACCCCAGGCCTAGCATGGCCTCACCAGCAGATGTTTCCTGCAATGGAAAGCTGCTGGCCAGGATTCTCAGTGGAGGAAGGGAGGGGGAGGTACCAAGGACACCACAGTTATGGTGAAATCTGAAATTTGAGACTCAATAGGCCAGGGACTTCTTAGAATCAACTGTCCCCTAAGGGACCTTGCTATCTGGCAACTTCTATGATGCAGCACCCAAGGCAAACAGGAATCTCCACTGTGCTGGTCAGGGAGAAGTTGGACAGATAGCCTGGAGAAGACGAGGTCTCTCCGAGGCACTGCCTTGTCTGAGGACCCTGCCCAACTTTCAAATTTTAGCTTTCTTGAAAAGGATTCTACTGAACACAAAAAACACGGGTCCCAGACCCAAAGAAGGTAAGCAAGAAGAATCTGAATCCTTGCCAAAGCACTCTCCTAGCACTTTCCCCTCTCCATTCTCAAAGACAGGTACCTCTACCCGTCCTGTGGTGCACCCTACTCTATGGCTACCGTCTTCCCAGGAAGAAGCCATCCTTCCTATCTTCTACAGTATTTAGCACAGAATATTTCAAACATCACTGGGTGTTCAAAAATTAGCACATGAATGCATTCCTTATCAATCTCTCACATTCTGCCTATTGATATCTTAGGTATATACACACAAACATGAATACAGAGAACCCTGGTTTATAAGCCTGGCTTCTGGGAACCTAGTCCCTGTCCCACATCTCTACCACAAAATCAAGTTCTTGCTGCCATGTGCATGAGCTATCTTTGTGACAGGTACATGTAGTGATTCTGTTTTCCAGGGTAATCACACCTCTCTTCAGGCCCACACCACACCCAAGATATAAGTAGTGTAGATGGTTCCAGGAGGCTCTAGGTACTTAAGAGAAACTTCCTAGAAACACAGGGGTCCAGGCCACTGATACAAGCCAAATGAGATGGTGGCTGGATGGGACTGGGACAGTTTACATACAGAGAACTAATGCTCTGGGAGATGAGTCTCAGTCTGCATCAGCCTTTGACTCCTCCACCTCTCTCACCAAGGGCTGGGTAGGGTGGGGCCAGAGTCTGAGCAGCCTGAATTGGCCCTGGGCTAAACATTAACTCTATGGCAAACACCAGGTCCTGGGACCAACTGATACCCCACTCTGGGTTCAGCCGGAAGGAGGGGGTGGGAGAGCCCGGGGGCAGGAGATGGATTTTGATTCAGCATTGACCTCACCTAGGAAGATACCAGTTAAGATCCACAAAGGAAATCCTGATGTTCCAACCAGATCCAGTAGGCAGAAGCCAGATGTGCGCAGGACATGGGGACAAGAGAAGGTAACTGAGCAGGGGGTGGGCATGGGTGCAATACAGAAAGATAGGGGAAGGGGTAAGATTGGGAGAGGGTCTCATCTGGAGAGACGAGAGCACTGGGAACATGAAGGATGAGCCTATCAGGGAAGTAGGGCTGAAGACTCTTCAAGCCATAAAAATCATGGGTGGGAGACAGATGGAGGTAGAGAAGGAGGGCCAGTCCCTGGGGAATATACCAGGCTCTGGGTGTATCATCTCTGCTGTCCGAACTACTAATACCTGCAATTCAATTCTACGAAGCTGTCCTTCTGTTCTCAAACTGATGCCAGCTAGACTTGCCCAGTCATTCAAAGGATTGGTGCCAATCCTTCCTCCCCTCCACAAAGCCAGCTTTCTAATGAGGGACAGTGTTGGACAATGTGGGTGCTGTCCCTGGCAGCTGCCCTTTCTAGGCTTTGTCCCTCAGTTGCTATGGAGAAAACTGACACCCCAGAAATGAGACATGAGGCAAAAGGGTCTATCTGCCCACTGGGGGTTCATCAGCAAGACCTGAACCCATTAGGAATAGAAAGGATCATATGTGGGGGGCAGGCAAATGACACCCCTCAGCCCTAGGCTTACAATGCCTTGATGGATACAAAGCCCTGTCTGTCTGCTGACTCCTCAGTCTCCTGTCCACTAGAACTATACCTTTTTACCACAAGCTAGAAGTCCCGCTGATTAAACAGAGGTGATCAGCTGGGAAGCAAGGGGCAAGAAGGGCCCCAGGGCAGCTGCATGTGAAAGGGTCTTCATACCCCACCTGACCCTGCTGCTCTCCCACCACATTCTTCCCCCTTGTTGCTGGGGTCCACGTCCCTTCATGTGACTCACTCTTCGAATCAAATTGGTCTTTTATTTTGCTGACAGCGCCTCCCTGGCCGGCCCTTTGACAAGAAGCCACTTTTTACTTCTGCAGGCAGGTCTAGAGAAGGCAGATGCCGACTTCCTCTTATACTATATCTAGGCCCCTCAAACAGGCCTCAGGTGTTCTTATAGTAGTCAGCACCTTGCAGAACTTTCCCACTAGCCCCAGGGCAGGGGAATAATAAAGCCTGCACCTATTGAAGGATTCCTGGTGTCAGGATGGAACCTGAGGCATCACAATAGAGGATGAGCTGACCACTAGCAGGAGAAGAGAGATTAGAAAGAACAGAGGAACCAGAGACAGATCCTCCCTGCTGGTCAGATTGCAGTCAGCTGAGAGCAGTTGAAAGGTAGGCAGCCTGTGCAGGGAGGAGAAGGCAGGTCAGAACAATAAGGGTCGACTGGGCACAGACATGAGGGAGTAGTCAACAAAGTGTCTGAACACAAGTGTGTAAGGCACACCCACAGCACTCAAAGAGAAGATGCCCAGCTACCCAAGGCCCAGGCATGGGAAGAACAGGCACCTCAAGCCTCTACCCATCAGGTAACCCTGGGGGAACCCAAGTCATAGCTTTCTGTTCCAGCTGGGGCAATTGGACCAGGGCCCAGGAGTAAATGCACTGATAGGGTTAGAGAGGGCCTAAGGGTGACTTCTATGATGCCAAACAGGCAGGATCTAGCTAACTCCACTAATAACCAGCCCTGCAAAACTCAGAGCCAGGGCATCCATCTCAGTCAGGGAAAGGGAGATGGGCTCTAATCTAGCAGTGATAGGTGCCATCTAAGCAGCCTATTTTGGTGCTGCATCGAACTGGCCTCTCTACTACTACAGTTACAGATCACCTTGCAAAGGAGCCACCCCTTGAGATGAAAATATAAGAACTGAAACCAGATGTTAAGGACTACGTCTGGTCTCTCTATGTCTACCTGCCATTTCTACTGAATTGAAACCAGATGTTAAGGCCTACATCGGGTCTCTCTATGTCTCCCTGCCATTTCTACTGAATTGAAACCAGATGTTAAGGCCTACATCGGGTCTCTCTATGTCTACCTGCCATTTCTACTGAATTGAAACCAGATGTTAATGCCTACGTCTGGTCTCTCTCTGTCTACCTGCCATTTCTACTGAATTGAAACCAGATGTTAAGGACTACGTCTGGTCTCTCTATGTCTGCCTGCCATTTCTACTGAATTGAAACCAGATGTCAAGGACCACGTCTGGTCTCTCTGTCTACCTGCCATTTATATTTCCCTCCCTCACACTCCTTTCAGCTTCCTGTACAAACCCTGCATTGAAACTCTACTAGAACAGTCACAAAGGGGTATACGGAATGGTCATTCTAGAGGACTCTCCGAAGTGAGTGTGAAGTTCAGCAGCTGCAAAAAGAAGGCCCACCCCATCCTCCAGTCAAGAGGTATGGTCTCCTAGCCTGTCATTACACGAAGTACTTGGATGACACAACTTCAGTGTCAGGCTGCTGGAGAGCATGGAGAGAAAAAGGGTGAGAGCACAGGGACTCAAAGTCTATCAGAATCAGGGAGAAATGGTCAGCCAGGAGACTGGAAACCAGAGAACAGACAACATGGAGGGCAGGAAAGAAAGCAGCCCAAAACAGAAGCCCGCTCCACAGGAAAGCAATGAGAAGAGGCAGGGAAAGAGAGCTGGAGTGGCAAGGTCAAGGACTTGCAGGTCCATATTTGGATGTTTGAACTGCCTAATAGCTCAATGGCCTTATGGTGTCTGTTTTGCTTTGGAGATACTAATTCACATAATGCCACTCAAAAGGAGATCACTAGGTAGAGGATGCTGGAGTACTTGGAACAGCAAGGCCAGGACAGTTCCCAGGGAAGACAGCATTCTTTCCTCCTCCCCTGTTCCACACAGAAAGCCCCTCTCTCTAGGATGTCAGAAGCCTGGGGAGGCCCAGGCTAGCAAGCCCCTGCGAGTCAGGGGAAAGAAGAAGACCGGGCCAGAGTTCAGCCTCTTTTCCATCCACAGCCATCTCAATCCTAAATTTTCTCCTATCAGCACAGGCCACTTGGGGTACCAGGTCGGGCTATGGCTGGCAGGTCAATCAAGACCACCTTGGATAGACAGGTGCAGCCTGTAGGAAGCCACTGTTAGCCAGAAGGTGTCTGACTTTGAGGAACTGCTGAGTACCATGCAGGAACACATAGGCAGCCCACAAGAATGATCTAGACCCAAAGATTCACATTAAATTCAAGCCTCTCCATCTCCTCCCTCCAACCCTGACATTCACAAGCACCTTCCTCATAGTGTCTCCATGTCCTGGCTTCCCACTGAGGCAGAGCCAAGGATTGGGGGGTGGGGGTGGGGCATGGCATTCCCAGGACCAGCAGGCTCAAAGAAGGGAAGGCAAGGTCTGAAATCAGGCCACAGTGCACAGCACATTGGCTTCCAGAGGGCACAAAACAACTGGCCAGAGCAGGTTGAGAAACCAGCCATCTGTTCTTCAGGGGAAGAATTCAAAGTGACACAACCCAGTCTGTGACCAAAGGGATGGCCCTTTACAGGAACTGCTCACTCCATAGAGCAGTTTCTGGGTCCGCTAAGAGTAAGCTGAGAAACAGCCCTTTTATCATAGACCAGAAGGCAGCCAAGCTCTTCTAGAAAGCACAAGTGCTCTGGGGGAATGCTGGGGGGAACTTTTTCGACAGAAGTAACATCCCATTCCATATCATAACCTCTCAGCTAATGAAGACAAATCTTTCAGCTCCATTTCCCCCATAATGTCTTGGTTAAGGGATGGAAACTGGCTCTAAGTTTATGCCCCATGGCTGCTCTGGCCCCAGAATTCTGTCTGGCATTGAAATGGCCATTCCTCCCTGGCTATTCTCCCTTAGGCCTAGAACCTTGTCCAGGGAACTAGATGAGGAAGGAGGTAAGGCAGATCATCCTCCCTCCCCAGGCTGCCTCATCCTGCTACAGAGAACTACTCTGTTTTGGAGAGGAAAGATGCTGATAAGGGCAGAAACTCAGAGGGGATCCAAACTGCACTTGATACTTCTCTCTCCCCTTGCCCACCTCCATACCCTCTCCCCCCAAAACATCCATTTCACAAGAACCAATAAGAGGAAACAATACTTACATTGTACCAACTCTGGCTTTTCTGAAAAGACAAAATAAAGAAGAGATTGAAATTAGTTAGGGAAGAGATGCTGGGGTAGCCAGCTTATTCCTGCCCCAAACACAAACAGCAGAGGGTGGGCAGGGAGAAGGAATCCAAATGCAGCTGAATGCTTCCCATGTTGCTGCTCAGGAGGGCCCTCCTTTCACAAGACAGCTCCAGAAAGGAAGCCTGGCGAGCAGTCCATGCTAGAAGCCCCATAAGAGCTGGGGCAGTTGGAGATGCAGGCAGCAGCAGCACCAGCTAGCACTCAACCAGAAGGGAGTTGGAACCCCATCGCCAGGTTCTGCTGATGGGGGCACAGGATGCCTGGTAGGCATCCAAGGCCTGGCCCCTAAATGGGCCCTAACTAGAAGCACAGTATCGATAAAGACCAACCCAGCCTTCTCTAGTCATCCACTCTGGAGAAGGCAGGGTGGAATACTTTGGTGGCAAGGGAAGAAGAGACTTCCTAACGTCACCCTTCAGCTATGTTCTCAAGTTAGCACATAGATCAGACCTTCTATCACAACAACTGGCTGGTCTCCTAAGCACTACTGGTAGAAGAATAGTTGGGATTCGGCATCAGAGGAAGGTGGAATCATCTTATCCCCTAAGGTTTCTTCTGACTCTTTGGTGTCATAACTCAGCTCTACAACTGAGAAGTTCTCATTCCCAACCACCCTGGAAGAATGGGATCTAATATGCTCTTAAGGAAAGAAGAGGGATGGCTAGATCATGCTTTGTCTGTTTCCAACTTCTACTTAGGAACATTCCATTTGGATGTCAGAAACTTCACCTGCAGGTCAAAGCCTCAATGAGACCTGGAGACATGAATCCTGGGTACAGTCAGCAATCTTCATCCCCTGCACCTGGTGACAAGGGACCAACTCATAGGGCAGAGTTGGGCAGTCACCAGCTCAGCATGTAAGCTGTACATGTATCTGACAAGGGTATGGGTGACTATGGACCAGGGAGTGGGTAACTGTGACCACATGATACCAGATGATCATGGAATCTCCCTCTTCTCACTTGACTCTTCCTTTCAATCAGAAGTACTCAGCCCCATACCTAGGTCTTCTACTTTGACACAGTCAGCAGAGTGACTGGAGGCGAGCAGCTGATGGGGCCTAGGAGTGAATGTGCTTTCTCCCCCATACAGATTTTACTGGCCAATCAGCCAGAGGAGCAGGTGGCAAGGCAGACTCTCAGTCCCCCTCTGCAAGGGGCTCTCCATGATCATTACTCAGAAGGCTGTCATTATGCTCAAATCTAGAAGTCACAGCCACTTACCACAATGCTATGCCTTCTTCCAATCCAGAAGTTGAAGGCCAAACCCAGATAGATATTCAAGACTATTTCATCATAGAGGGGAAAGGTGGGCTCCTCCTAGGAATTCTGGACCTGAAAATTTCTATCTAAGCAGTTCAGCTCAGGCTACCCATGTCTGGAGGAGGATGGATGGACCAAGCAAAGCTGCATCTAACTGTACTTGCATCTCCATGTTCGAGTGCTCATAAAGAAGCCGGATTCTGGAGCCACAGAAAACGGGGCTGTGTAGATGTTGGTTAATTGCATATTACAAGGCAAGATGCAGTCTTGGAGCTACCACCTTAAGCCCACAGCCTCCTTGTGCTGCTCTAAAGCTAACCCAGGCTGGTCACCTGCTTCTCAGCTGAGGGAACTCTCTCAACCACACCTAGGTCCTTAAGTCCTCATTCCTTGTAGCTTTGGAGTAAGACTGGAAGAGGAAAGGGGACAACAGGACGTGGTCCTTGGTGATCCTCAAACAGGGTGCCCGTCCTCCTGCCCCACGCAGACAGATTTTCCCTTCCCATGTGCTGGCATCAAGATGTTTGTCCCTTAACAATCTGCCCAAAACAGTTTTAGGGTCCCGAGAGCCTCAACCAGGAACGCTTGCCCCATCTCTTAACTAGGTCTGTGACACTTTTGTGCCTAACATTTGCTCTTTTGTGAGGTGAGGATAAGAATATAAATTTACAAATCAAAAGAAATGGGCAATGCAAGAGGAAGAACCTGAGGGACTACCAGCTCTAAGCAGCTTCCTAGCTAAGGGTGCCTCAAGGACAGAAGTACACCCACATCCTCAGTGTAACCCACAATGACCCCCACAAGACCAGCCAGCATGGAAAGGCATTCCTAACCTTTGACCTGTCACCTAGAGGTTAATTACATTCTCATGGCTCTGCAATACGGGGCTGAGTGCTGAAGGGACCACCTGACAAGGCCCAAGAGGGTTGACAGGGTTGTGCACTGGCAGGACGGTGAGGTTACCTATCGTGAAGGATAGGGACTGAGGAAAAGAGCACAGAACTAGGGAGTCAGGGTGAGGGTTCTAAGAGCTTCTGACGGACCTGGCTGAAGGAGAGAAAGGAGATCAAAGATCTGTTGAAGGCAGGAATTGAGGTAAGTGTGGAGGAGAGTTTGGGGCACCCGTTTCTGGCTTCTTTTACAGTTTCTACAAGGAATCTGAAAAGCCACCGGGAAGGAATACACAAGCCACACCCGAGCAGCTTCCTGCCCTCAGGTTCCAAGGAGTCTAGAAAGTGGGGCTGGGGTCGGGGTGGGGGATAGAAGGAGACCAGGGCCAGAAGCTCTACATTTAATATAAATTGGGAGGAAGAAAAACCAACTTCTTACTTTGATCAGATTAAGTCTGTTATACTGAAAAGAAAAACCACAAAAATTAGAATCGAAACAAACAAACAGAAAAAAAGGTGAAAGGTCGGGGGGAACCAGTGTCACAGCACCGGGCACGGTGCGGACTGAGAGCTGAGCTCCAGAGAAGGAGCCCGAACTGAGTGGCCCTATCTACTAGGCAAACCTCCACAGATGGTGTGAGCAGGAAAGCAGGCCCTGGCTCCCTCTGGTGGTCACAGGCCATCACTACCTAGTGCAGCTCCATGGGGGGGGGGGGGGGGGGGGGGGCGCAGGTGCTCATGGGAAGGGAGGTCAGTCCTGAGGTCCTCTAGCTCCTTGCTCTAGGTAGAAACAAGGATCAGCTCAAGAAGGGGTCTTAAGGATTTACCAGTCCAACCCTGTGTCTAACAAATGAAGAAATGAAGGCCAGAAAAGGGGAGAGCGATTCCTCTGAAGAACAGGCATCTGACAACCTTCTTGAAAAACAGAGGGTGGCCTCTTTGCAGGAGTTGATCAGAGGTGCAAGGTGACCCAGCTAGGACTGAGCAAGTGGCAAATCTGGCTGTCAGGTCCTCTGATTGGCTACATTTCGCGACCTTCAAAGGATGCTCCCTGGTCAAACAGCTTGACCTAACACATGGTATAAAAAAGCTTGGCCTTGGCCCCTGTAACATTTCCTCACAATCCTACTACCCCCTGGCCTTCATGAAACCCTCTTCCCATGCTGGCTCTGCTGGTTCACCTTCTGCAGTCTGTGTATCCTGCACATGCATGCTGCAGTCTGACCATAGCTGCTCCCAGGTCCACTTGTGGAATGAACACATCAGCTGTCAGTAAACACTGAGTTCCTCCTAGGCTTGAAAGAGCTGTCCACCGTTAGGAGTAAAGAGACTGTGAAGACTTAGAACAGATATGAAGGGAAGGAATAACCTGATACCCACATCTAGTCAGATCTGCCCTCTTTCAGCTGAGCCTAGAGTACCTCCAGTGCCCGTGTCAAGCAAGGCAAAGGTGTGAGCACTCCCTCGGGCAGGCTGGCAGAGGCCTTGTCCCCAGACACCAGGCATGCCTGAACCTGTCCATCCTCCTACACCCACAGAGGAGTCCTGCTGGCTTCCTCACTCCGGGCCAGCTGCTCTTCCCTGCACTCCACTGACTATGGCCACTTAAAATCCTCAGAGCCATGATGATGCAGTAAGTGTGAAGGTCACAGCCTGCAGGCTTAGCTGTAGAGTTTCTTGTTCTTCCTTCAGGAATGAACAGATGCACGCTCCCCTCCCTGAGGAGGCTTGCAGCAACTGTTCTAAGTCATCTCTCAGCTGCTTCTTCCAACTGCACTCCTTTCCCCCGGGATGATTTCCTGGGTTTCATTATCCCAGAATTCCTACCCTCTACCCACTCCAACTGCCCCTCAGGCCTCAGTGATCCTGGGGCCCTAGGCTGACTCTGGCATGCTCCCTCATCTTCAAGCCTCTATCCAGGGCCAAATAGGGTTGTCACATTCATCAATCGCCAGATGCTGGCACCATACTCTCTCTGAGCAAACCCCGAGCCCCCGACTGTACCAAGAATGAGTCCTGGAGTACGTGGTGGGGACAAGTAATGAGGGTGTGCCCTGACTAAGCATCACAGGGGCAGAGCGTGTGAGGTCATTGCTATGGCACCCATGGTCTTCCATCATGGCCCTTCCTGCCCATCTCTAATCACTCCTGCCACCCACCCAGGGGGCACAGGGACCTGCAGTATGACTGAATGGAGCCTCCCACATCCAGAGGAATAAACTACCCCTGCAGGACTCTGCTTTCAGAAGGCGCCACGCAGGAGGGAACACATTCCCACTAGTGGTGGTATTTGGGAAGCAGGCAGACATGGGGGAGGAGGGCAGGGTTTGTTCACCAACATCAGGTGCAGTGGGAGTGGTCCCTTAGTGACTTCCAATGGGGGGTGGGAGTGGGGGCAGTGGGGCCGGCCCTTTTGGGAAAGGGACCAAGCAGGACATATGGGCAGAATTGGCAGGGGGCAGAGGGAGGGATGCTGAGCACTACAGACAATTCAACACTAGGGGGGGAGAGATTAAAAGACAGAGACAAAAGATGGCTTACTTTTGAGAGGCGCTTGTGAGACTAAGACCATGCATGAAAGAAGGTATTTGGGAAATAATGAGGAAGAAGAGGAAGAACAAGAAATCAAAAGACAAATTCAGGTGGGAACCCAGCTCCCAAGCCTCCCTGGGGATCCCAGTCCTTTCCTAGGTCCTTTGAGTCTGGTAGTGAAGGAGCACCTGGTCAGAGTTGCCTCTTGATTCCCAGAAGCCTGGGGAAGGGAGGATAACTCTGGGGAACCACAGCCACCCAACACCTGTGTGCTAATACTCGGACCAGGGGCCTGGGTGCTCAGGTGTAGAGTGTGGTGAGGATGAGCTTAGGAGGGATGGAAAAGCCCTATGGCTGTCCTCTCTGCAAGATGAGAACTGAATGAGTTAGTACAAAGGTAAGGCAGGATGAAGGCCAGGGAGGAGGTTAAAAATAGCATCCTGGAAGGTTCCCTGGAGACTCTTCCTGACAATATAGTGGGTGCCAAACAATGTTCCCTTCCCCAATTCTAGGGACTTAATTTAAGGAAACATTAAACAGATGATCCCTCCTCATCCCCAGAGCATGCCCCCTCTACATCTCAAGGGACATGAACCTCCATAGGTCCTGAAGAGGTAGGGGTGGGTGGAGAATCAGGAACCTCTCACAGTGCTAGGGTGTCTCCTGCCAGCCCTACCCTGCCCTGCCCTTAGGGCACAGACTGGCTGTAGGACACTGGGGCTGTTCAGTCAATTGACTACCCATTATTAGCTCCCATGCAGGTATAGTCTCCAGCTTGGTCTGCCTCACCTTGGAATTTTTGCCACCACTCCGACCAGACTGTGAGGAACAACTGCGTTGCACACCCTGCTCTGGGGTGGACGGGGACTTGTCCGAGGAGTGATCTGAGCCCTTCTCCACCATGGCGTCTCCGTCCTGGTTCTGTGGGGTTGGTGAACGAGAACGCTTCCGGAGGATGGGAGAGCAAGCTGGCGTGCTGCGGTTGGAGTTACTGGCAGTGCTGTAGGGGCAAATGGAGAGAGGGAATAGGGTGAAGAGGGGAGGAGGAAGGAAGGAAGGCTGTCAGTGATTGCTGCCCAGAGACCCATGCAAAGGAGCCAGCTCAGGGTGCCCAGGCAACAGGCTGGGGAGACAACCAGAGAAAGGGGCCCGCCCAGCTAGGGACTGACTGTGCTGTAATACTTCTACTGGACAGCAGAGGACAGTGGTGCCAGAGTGAAAAGGGAAATAAGACTATAAACAGGCAGGTAGGGTTTTACATATCCATCCATCCATTCATCTATCCATCCATCCACCTATCTACCCAAGCACTCATCTATCCATTTATTCATCCATCTGTCTAGCCACCCAATTACTGTATGAACCCTTACTACCTACAAAAAGCTGTCTAGGAAAAGTCATTTTCAACTTGAAAAAAATCCTGGGAGATCACTCAATATTACCAGTTCACTTTAGATGCACCACATTGTTTCAACACTTTTGTTAATATTATAACAAAATTATAATTAATATAACATGAAAAATCCTATTTTTCAAAGCATCCACATCATTTCAGACATATTATATCTTTTGAAAAATATTAGCAGAGCATGGCATCATGTGCCTTTAATCTCAACACTCAGGAGGCAGAGGCAGGTGGATCTCTATGAGATCGAGGTCAGCCTGATCTACCTAGCGATTTCCAGGCCAGCTGAGGATACAGGAAGACTGTCTCAAAAAACAACAACAACAGAAATTGTTACATTATTTTATTTTGTGTGTATGTGTGTGGGCACATAAGTGTCAGAGGACAACTTGCAAAAGTCGGTTCCCTCCTTTTACCATGTGTGTCCTGGGGATGAAACTCCAGGTCTCAGCCTTGGCAGTGAATGCTTTTACCCAAGAAGTCATCTTACTGGCCCACATACTGTGTCTTTAAAATGTCTGGCAGACAGAAGCAAGTGATCATAGAGGACCTAGATTCAAAATCTGCAAATGGGCTAGAGGGATGGCTTAGCAGTTAAAAGCACTGGCTGCTCTTACAGAGGACCCAGTTTCAATTCCCACATGGCAGCTAGCACCTCTTCATAACTCCAGTTCCAGGGGATTCCCACACCCTCTTCTGACCTCCACAGGCATTGCACAACACGGGTGCATTTACACAAAAATAAAAATATTTTTTAAAATATTGGTCCATACTATTGTTCCATTTCCTTGTAAGATACGATGGGTTCTACAGGAGATGAAGGCTTACTCTCACCCCCACCCCATACTTGTTAGGATTAGAAGTTGTAAGCTGAGAACTCTCTCCCGGGTTTCAGCACCAAAATGTTAGGGGTAGGAGTTTTAGAAGATTCACTGGCCACTCTTTCCTCTCTAATTCCTAACAATATCCATTTCCAGAAAGTGCCTAATACTACATCTAGGTACCCCTAGGCTTACCATCTGTTATTACTGTAGGAATTTAACTTAGCTTGAGTTTTCAATGGAGTAGCAGAAATAAAGGAAAGGAGAAGAAAATTAAGTGCAATTAGCTATGCATTGAGATAACAGAGTAAGGAAAGAGATAGACAAGGGAATATTAACTAGGAAGAGATAGGGGAAATGGGAAGGAAAGACCTGAGATGGCACAGCCACCAAGCACAGGGTAGTGGGAGGGAGTACCTGCTCGGTGGTCAGATGGAGAAGCCAAGGAGCAGTCCCAGGAGACCACATCCACACTTTGCCTCAGGGAGTGAGAGGGCAGGGTGGAGGACAGAGACATTTGCATGAAGATCAGCTGCAGCCTCAGATGCCCCAGTGGAATTATTTGCAATGCTAACCATATCCCCCCACCTGGGTAACCAGAAGAAAAAGTTCCAAAGCCCAGCCAGTAGGGAGGGGAGAAGGTGGAAGGGGGAGCAATACTGAACTTTCTAGGGGAAATTGATAGAAAGTTAAAAAAGAGAGATCAGAAAAAAAGAAAGACATAACCAGAAGGCCCAAGGTCTTGCTTTTCCCAATACAGAAAGTACATTTAAAATCACATTAATAATACCAACGATAAGTGTGATTCAAAGAAACCCTAGTTCTCTCTTCTCTCCGTGCACCTCTTGACTCTACAAACCATTCAGCACTATAAACCTGGGGGAAAGTAAGGCATGTTCCTTTGCTTCAGCTGAAGGAACCAAGCCATGGGACTGACACAAGCAGACACCCCAGTCCTCTGGGAAAGCCTTAGGGTAGGACAGAGTATGTGGTAGGAGGTATCCTGTGCCAGACCCAGGTGCTTACCCATCTGAGGGGAGCACCCTTTATCTTGTGGGCCAATCTGGCCCACAGCCAAGTATCCAAGAGCAATCTTCCTAACCCCAGAAAAAAAGAGTAAGAGGAACCCACCAAGTGCACACCTGCCACAAACACAAAGGATCTTTCCTGTCTTCCTCAAATAAGGGCTGTCTTCATCCAGTCTGGTTCTAGATTCTAAATGCCTGCTGATAACCTAGCTGCTGGGGGTTGGTAGGATTCAAGCAAGGAGCAGGCAAAAATAAAAAATATAAAAGGTATAAGAAACTGATGCCAGCTATCCTACACTAAGCAGTATGAGTGACATCAATGGGACCAGTAAGAAGGCCCAGCAAGGAAAGTTCTTCTAGCTAAGCTTGATGATCTAAGTTCAATCCCCAGGACCACAAGGTAGAAGGAAAGAACAGACTCCCACAAGTTGTACTTTCCCTCGACATGACCTCTAGTATATATGTGTGTGTGTGAATGCCGGTGTGCGCATTTCACAGTGCATGTGTGGTAGAGGACAATTTTAAGGAGCCAGTTCTCTCCATCATGTGGGTCTGAGGAATCGAATTCAGTTCTTCAAGCTTGGTGGCAAGCACCTTGACTCACTAAGTCATCTTGCTGGACCACTGGATCTTTTCTTGCTACCCGACCTAGAATTTAGTTCTTCCCCCAGTGTTCTTCACCTCCCTGCCTCTCCTGCTTCTCTGCCCTCAGCCTGTCCCTGGACAAGTCCTCCTCTGCCACCAGCTCTACTCACACTTGTGATTCTGGCCCGACATTCTTGTGCCAACTGGATGCTTCCTCCAGACAGATGTCTCCAGAGTGCCTCCATTTCTAAACAGCTGGATAGCCAACCTGCTCAAATAGCCCCTCCCATTCCTATTCCATCACCAGGGAACTATCATTGCCCTGGCTAAGGCTGTATGCAAATCATCTCTCCCATCCCACCCCACACAAAAAAAATTAGTCACTGCAGCCTGCTTGCTCTCTTCTCATAAAGCTCCTTGATCCCACCCTTTCCTGCCCTTGAGACAAGCTCAGGTTCTCAAGGTGTCTGGCCTGGACTTGTCCAGTCACCTTTGCTTATGATTTGAATGGTTCCTGACAAACACCCAGAATACTATTAATAGGTCACTGACTGTCCAATGCTCTACCTTTGGTCCCATCCTTCTCTATCCAGGAAGAAATGCATACAGCCACCATTCTGTGCCTTAGCAAGGCCATTACTAGCCCTGCTACATTTCTAAACCTCTTAAGGGCCCCTCACTGTCCTACAGATTCAGACATACTGAGAAGCAAATAAAACCAGTTCCTATGTATTTTGTATAATAGTCTGCCTTTCAAACTCCATTGGTGCCATTAATCTGATCCCATTATCAGTAGCAACAGAACTGCCATTGTATTTTAAAATCTTGGGTTTGAGGAGCTCAAAAAAAACCTAGATATACTGTAGTAAGGGAGCAAAAACCAATATTGATGGCCCAGCTACAGGCTATAACTCTTAGCTTGTAAGACAGCTGAGAAATAGAAGGGTAAATGCCTGGCCAAGGTGATGTGGCCCTGGATATGGATGGACAGCTCTACAAATATTAACTGGCCACCTGGTACAATGTTAGACATTCAACTTCAAATCAGTGAATAAAAGAAGATCTTAGTGCTTAGGGCATTTATAAAGAAGCGGAGCTAGACATGTCTCATTGGAACAGAAGCTCCAAGTGGTGTCATCCAAGAAAGTAGAGTGAAGGAAGAAAAGAAAGGCTTGCTTGAAGATATGGCCTGGAGTTGGGTTCAGAGGACAAATCTGAGTCAGCGAAGTGAAGGCACAGAGGCCAGCGAAGGCAGGGCAGGGCAGAAAGTAAAAGCATAGCCAGCATGAACAAAGAATGAAGGCATCCAACAGCATGTAACACAGAAAGCATTACAAGAAACTGCACGTGAAGCACTGCATGTTTAAACTGATGCTCCAGGGTCCTGTCATCACTGCCTCTCCCTAATCATAGGTTCATTAAGGACCCCATAGGCCACCCCTAACCCTAGAAGTCACTTACTCATTCCCCATCTCTCCTATTTGTAAGACTGCCAACAAAGACTACCTCACTCCTCCTCCTGGATACCTTGCTAAGAGAAAACACTTCCTTAAGACTGACCACACTATCTTAAGCTATGTGTGGTTTGATCCCACTTCCTATATTTAGGTCTGGCTAAAGTCCTTGAGCAATCGGCTAATGTACAAAGAGGACAAAGGCTCTCTTTCTGCAGTGACTCTCATTGCAGTCTCCCCCGCTTGCACCTCAGATGCCCTGGCCACTGCACCACTTTTCACGGCTTTCTTTCCCCATCCTTATTTGCACTGAGGTCCTGCGGGCACAGACAGACCTTGTCAGTAGGCCAAGTCCCTGATCAGCCGCCTGTGCATTTTTCAGAACCCTGAGAAGAACACAGTGGTCAGCTGGTGTTCCTTATTCAAGTTCTTGTGATTGCCTTTATGGAAGATTGTTTCTGCCCCAGATATTGCGAAATAGATACCTGTCACTCTGGATGCCCCATGCCTCCACCTGCTTGAATTGCAAATGGCTCCTTCATGCAATCTTGCCACAGCGAGTCCCAACCAGCACCACAGCCCTGGCTCATTCCCTATCAGAACCCCCTCCTCCCTACATCTGAGTACCACCACGTGTTCACTTGTTTCTCCTAAGCCCGGCCGTAAGATGACCTCAATGACCAGTGCATGGCTACAGTCTGTTCAGT